TGTAGGAATATACGTTACAGAAGGGAAGTAGTCTGAAGGGGAGCTAAAAACTGTAGCAGTTACCTGGTGTGAGAACATTAGGTATACAAATATTATGGTTGGAGCAATAAGTAACTCAATGAAGTTGAGTGAAAAATTACATACCAAATTAAATTATAATTAATAAAATATTTCTGGTATTAAATAATAATTATAATATTATTTAAATCGTAGACGTTTTTTTACTTTATTTTTATATGATAAAAGTAGTGAAAGTGCAAATTAAAAAAAACAAAATTGTTAATTAATATAAATTTATTTAATTATAATAATATAATGAATAAATATTTGCTAGAATAAATAAAATAAATAAAAAAAGTAATAATAGGCAGGGATCGAACCCAGGTCGACAGCGTGATAGCCCAGAGCCTAAGTGCCCGAGCTACGCCGCCATCTCGGCAATCGATCCAACAGGACCGGAATATAAGGGACGCCATGAACTTCAAATCGATTTTTCTCGAAAACGGCTGAGCGTTGCGCCCTATCCTTTTACTAAAGTACTCTTCTGATAGAGTACTATACCATATAAAAATTTCTTTGAAATTGGTGACCCGAAGTCCGCGTCCTCCCCTTGTGAGACAGAACTCGTATTGTAGGCTAACCGTTATGGAGAAAGATTAAAGTCGAGTTAATCGTAACAACCGTACTTAATGAGAGTGATAGAACTTGCACGCCGAATATTATACCGCGTGAGACGAAAGTACGCGGATTTCCGCGAGTCAACATCCAAATCCTAAAGCCTCTCACAGAGATAAAAGAATGTCTCCCCTTCGCGGGATTGTTAAGGCGCCTATCACCCGGCGTCAATCTCATTTAATCTAATCAATAGAATTAAATGTTATTTGTTACAAACTTTATGTGTCATTAATAACCGTCTTATTTCAGACTCCTCTCTCCAAATCAGTATTGAGCATCTCTAAAGAACCTCGCCCCTCTGCCATTTGTAGAGTGGGCTAGTCGCGCTTATCGCCGTTGCTTTTTTAAATAAAATATTGTCTCTAACGTAAGTCGTTCGTGCGGCGCGTCAATCCGCGCCTGGCGCCCAACTATAAGTATCGCAATAACTAATAAATAAATTAAATAGAGCAACGAGATTTGACACGCTTACCGGCGGGTGTACTTCTGCCCGACGGAAAAGTCGTCGCACTGCCAATCGATTTGCGTTCACGCGACAGATTTCCACGTGAACGCAGTAAGTCGAACAAATGTTGCACGTGAAAGAGCAGATTACGGGCTTCGATCAGTCGGTGTTGCTCGTTAAATTGGATTAAAGCAACGTCAAAGGGTAGCATTGTTTTTAAGGTCAACAGTCATATGCGTCACGGCATTCGTTGTCGGAACGTAGAACACGAATGATGGATTTTACTCACGTAAGGGTGTATCAGATCCTTTCGTCTATCTTGCGACCGCTCACATCGGAATCGACTGCCGACGATAATGTTAATGTGGACGAAGAAGAAGAGACCGGCGAACAGCGATAAGATTATTGGCTAAAAAAATTATGAAAAACATTTATAAAAATTTATAAATTATATAATTTATAAAAATTTTGTGAGGTGATAAGTTTTATTACGATAAAGTCGGATCGATTTTACAGGTGCAGTGATGAACATTGAGTACCTTTCTACGAGCGAATTGAAATTTAATTGAAACAGGAATTAAAACTAATAATAATTATTGGTTAATTTAATTACATTAAACACACGTCACATTTAATCCGCAATCGGCGAAAAAAATGGAGTGTGCTAATTGCCTGGTAACACCGTTTAAGAAATCGTTATCCCACACATCAAACGTGTTAGATAATTTCGAGCATACAAAATGCGGGAAGTTACTGAAGCCGGAAGTTCACGTAAGTTTTTAAAGAATCGTGCAATCCTTCATGAAAGTATTTTGGATAAAAATTTATATTATAAGAAATTAATTTCTCTCCGCATATTATTTTATTTGCAGCATGATAAAGACGAAAATGAGATATCGAATGACGCGGGAGAGAAACAGGACAATTATTATTATGCCAATTGCGACTCTTCGATATGGATGAGAAGCTGCGAAGAAGAGGTGATCGAACCCCTTCGATCGATCAATGTCACCGGTAGCATCCCCAAATGGCTAAAGGGCACGCTGCTGCGAAACGGTCCGGGCAATTTAAAAGTGGGCGAATATCGCTATCAGCATCTGTTCGACAGCTCCGCTTTGTTGCACAAGTACGTTTTTACATTAAAATGATTTTCGGGCGATAAATAAATCCGGACAAATTCCGCAGATTTGAAATCGCCAACGGAGAGGTCACTTACCAGCGTCGATTCGTCCAGACTGAGGTGTACAAGAGGAACCAGGCCGCTCAGAGGATAGTCTTCAACGAGTTCGGCACTTATGCGACGCCGGATCCTTGTCACAGCATATTTCGCAGGTAAAAGAAGCGACGACGCAGATAACTCTGAAAAATATAAATGCGACGATTAGTGCGGAGAAAAATTATGAGAGTTGATTTTATATAAAAAATTATTATGTACGGCAGTAACCGCGGATCATGAAGGAATTATAAAATTTTTACCATGTTTTTCACATATGATGGCTTTATGGTCCACAATTACTGCCGTACATAATAATTTTTGATATAAAATTTTCTCTGTGTAGAAAAATTACATATCTACGTTAAGATTTCGCGACGTTTCGACAAAATTTGTAAAATTTTTCCTCTAAATTTATTTGAGTGCGATACTTCAGGGTGGCCGCAGTCTTCAATCCGAATGAATCGATGTCGGATAATTCCATGATCACGGTGTATCCCTTCGGTGATGAATATTACACATTCGCGGAAGCGCCGGTGATGCACAGAATCGACCCGAAGACTTTAGAAACGATGGGCAGGGTAAGCGCTCAAATATACTTGGCAATGGACTTAAATAGATTCAGTTTCTCCTATCAGAGTTTGTTGCAAATGGCGCCAATATTTTAAATAAATTTCTCTTGATTTTTTGCAGATAAACGTGTCGCAGTATGTTAACATCGTAAATCATACCTCGCATCCTCATGTTATGGCCGATGGCACGATTTATAACGTAGGAATGAGCGTGACGTCGAGAGGTCCTCAATATAACGTCGTATGCTTCTATCCTGATCGCGTGACTACTGGTAAGATTTTTCTCTGCAACAAAATTAAAAGAAATTTTTGGCAGATGGAATTGAAGAATTTATTGCGACAATAATTACATGGGAAAGATAATTTGATACTACAGAAAATTATGCTCAAATTAATTTCCTCGATTCCAAAATATTTCTTTAAAAATGTTAATTTTTTTATTTATATTTTTTAAAATACTTCACTCCTAGAAAATTGAATTAAATCGCTGTCGAATTGAATTAATTCGAGTACAATTCTCATAGACGATTCCGGAGAGAAGCAGAAGCTCTCGATGTTTGATCAAGCGACGATCGTAGCCAGTGTGCCGAGCAGATGGCTACTGAATCCATCATACATGCACACATTCGGCATTACCGAGAATTACTTCATCATCGTGGAACAGCCATTGGCGATCTCCTTCATCAAGATGGCGATGAGTCATATTAAGCAAGAACCGATGATAAACTCCTTCAAGTGGCACGAGAATGAAACCGTATGTTCAACCTGCAAAAATATTATAAATCATTAATTAAATCAAATCAAGCAGCAAATTAGATTTATTGTTCTACTATCAGACGCTTATTCATGTGATCTCGAGGGAGACGGGTCAAACAATGAGGACGTTTGTTGCCGAGACATTTTTCTATCTTCACATCATCAATCAATTCGAGACTCGTGACGGGGAGTACGTCGTGCTCGATATATGCTGCTATCGAAACCCGAAGATGTTGGAGTATATGTACATCGATTCGATGAAGGTAGAGTCGCGCGAAAAATTCGCAAAAGCGATTTAACATCGATAATTTTAACAAAAATTAAATAATTATTATATAATAAATTTAAAATATTAAAACAAGCTTATTAAAACTAAAAATCACGATTGTCTGTACGATATATCGCAGAGTATCAAATTATTGTAACTACTAAATGTATTAATTCTTATAATTTCGCAATATATCGTTCGATCAACCGCGTTTTCAGTTTAATAAGCTTTACATAAAGACCTATTTGTTCTTAATAAATTTTTACAAATATTTGTATAACTGAATTCACTTATCTTAAAGTATTCATGCTACACAATTATCGTTCGCAGGATATGCACGGAGATTCCGAGTTCGCGAGATTGTTCCGTGCCAGGCCGCTGCGTTTCGTGCTTCCGATGAGACAACCGCCTATCGATACACCTTTCGAGCACAATATCATCGCAATTAAAACAGTGCATCAGAGTTTGGAGGATCGCAAGCTAGATTTTCAGATCATCGATTCACAGAACAATTTTAGCACTGGTCATGAAATCGAATATCTCGACGAGACCAAATGCCGGATGAACGAGCAGAGAAGCGCTCTGTGGAAGAAACCTGCCGCTCATCGACTTTCTGACGGCAGGATCTTCGTGAAGCCGGAACTCCTCTGCGACATCGGTTGCGAGACACCGCGAATAAACACGGACTCGTGTCTCGGCAGCGAGTATCGATACTTCTACGCGATATCCTGCGATATGGATCTGAACAATCCCGGAACGGTCAGTATATTTCGCGAGCTTTTACAGTAATAAATAAAAATGTCTCTCTTTTTTTTCTTGTTTCACGCTGTTGTATAAATTAAAACTGTCTCGTATAAATTAGATAATTAAAAAATAATTAAGTAAAGTAACGCATACATCTCTTTTTACATAATTCAGTGCGAAAAGAGTGGGTAATATTTCACTTATAAATAAAACTAATTTCATTTACAGCTTATCAAGGTTGACACTTATCGCAAGACGAAGAAAATGTGGCAGGAAAAAGGTGTTTACCCTAGCGAACCAATTTTTGTGCCGAATCCCACCGGAAAGGTATATCGTTTTTATTAGGAAAATAGAAGAAATCAAATTGCTATATTTTTTTCTCTTCCAGAACGAAGACGACGGTGTCGTTGTAAGCTCGCTCGTCTGGGCGGATAAGGAGACTCGAGTTGATCTGTTGATCTTGGATGCTGTGACGTTTACGGAAGTCGCGAGGGCTACCTTCGACACACCCGGGCCGGTACCTAAGTGTCTACATGGTTGGTTCAGTCTAAACAAATAATCGTCGAACATACAATATATTAGACCAAAAGGAGATTCGTGAGATTTCCTTGGTAAAAGTTTAAATGTATCATTATCAACAATTCGTTATTAACATAACGTAACATAAAAGGTTTTTATCTGGGAATGTAAATATACTTTTAAGTGTAGCGTGTATGTATGTTGCAAATATAAATTACTGTGTCAGCAACTTAAACTGAAATAAAGCGAATTAAATACGTCGAATTTACAATCGAATTTATCCTTACATTACTATTATTACCGAGGATCGTATAATATTATAAGGAATGCTACTTCTGTTGGAGATATCACGTATACCTTATAAAAAATTCTTTTTTTACTATTCTTAATATTAAAGGTGCAACAAAGTATTAACATTTAAAATATTCGGAAGGTACAATCTTTATGCTATAGGATTAATATTGAAAGGACGTAGCATAATATTGTCAAACATGAATATAATAAATTATTTAATGTCTTTTCGCGATGCGTACTGTATTTACAATTGGCGAACAGTATTGTCACGTACAATCCGAATAATGCAATAATGCAGAATAAATGTACAATTTGATGAATAAGAACTTGATCCGGTGGAATGTAAAATGTGCTTTAACCGTTCAAATGTCAAGAAGCGCCATCGCGTTTTTTCTGTTTTATATATCAAAAGTCCAGCGAACGCCGCAGTAAATTAAGTTAATCTTTACAAAAATCTATAGTATAGAATTCATGAAAGCTACCTTTAAATATTAAGTTGAATAGTGAGAAAAAGAAGTGCAATAGCGCTTGTTGGCATTTTTTGACGAGAATAAAAGAAACGCGAATGCGCTATTTGGCATTTTTCGCATGCATTCTTACAATCGCTTTCAGCACTCAAACGGTTAAATATTGTCATTTCGGAATTCGGTTGTGCGGTGAAATATTAAAACAATTCTCAGCTATTCTCTGGGCTGCGATAGCGATAATAGTAATACAAAGTTCGACAGAGATAATATCGTCTCAATTATTTCATGAAATTATTAGAATAGTAACTGCGATCTACATCCTTGACCTAATTAATTATCTAGCAGTGAATTATGAGAAAACACTCTTCATTCTGATACACAAAATGCGACATGTTTTCAAGCGATAGTTTTCAACTATCGATATACAATTCTCACGATAAACTTTTTGGATTTCTAACAAAAAGTAAAATTTATTCTTGAATGTGCCTTGATTGGTAATTACTATTATTCAAGTTGAATAATTTCTACAAAATTAATATTTTGTAAAAACAAATGCGAGTTTAAATTAAAAGAAATTCAATCTTAGAAAAAATCTTCTATAATCTTAGAAGAAATTCAATAGATATTCGAGACAGTTTTTGATCGCTTCTAAATTAAATATCATATGAATAAAAGATTGGTCTGTATTTTCTCGCTAAATCTGATCTACAACGTGACAAATTCTTATATATTTAAGCAACAATAATTAACAATTTGTATTAATAAATAATAGTCTGGCACAACCATGGTCAGATAATTACTAGCTAAGGGAGCATTGGCATAGGAATCCTGAATAATCTTATACATGAGAATAATCATCAGCTCGCAATATAAATTATGCATTTTGTGTAGAAAAGTTCAATATCGTTGCTTTTGGCATTTCAAATCACTTCACTGAAACTTGCGTTCGGGAAAAACTTTACCTTATCGCTTGTAACAAAAGTAATAGACTTGCCATTCACAGCGCATTCATAAACGTATACTCATAGCTCAAATCTTCGATTAAGATTCAAAATTCACAGTCTGAATACGACTCATTCCGATATTTAGTGTAATTCATTTAATTTCGATTACGATTTAAATATCTAGAAAATCTTAATCCTTATCCTAATTTTGTGCGCGTTTTATTATGTAAATATACCGTCGCATTATTTTAATTAGATATACGAAACGAAAGATATATATTCTCTTTGTGATGTTCCCAATAAAACACTTCCACATAAATTGTCCGTCAAAAAACCTTCCGAATATGTACAAATTCTATTCGAATACAAATAATCTACGTACGCGAACGCGAACAATATTTCCATCAATCACATCATTTTAATATCGCATTATTCGATATTCCGTTAAAATAGAAAATTCCAAGAAAAGAGTCACGCTGCTTAATACTATCTCGCATGCTCGCGTCTTTCTTCGGGATTTTGTTCACCTTAGGCTTAAGTACGAGAGAAGTGTTTGAGAGTTACATGAGTTTGTATAACGATTTTGACGCTTAATCGCGTAAATAATCACGACAGAAGGAGGAAGAAGCAAGTAAAACACGGCTCTCGCATTCAGGCCACACCGCGTTACAGGACAACGGCGACGTGGCTATCACAATATGAGTTTTCGCTCGTCTCGGTTTGGTTCCTTCAAACTTTGTCCATTTTCTCGATTTCCACAGATCCAATGGAATTGATCGCGATATTCTTGTTGCTCTCCGTGTCCGTCTCACTTCTCGCCAAACTGGAGATTGACGCACCGATGTGAGACTCAGAATGCATCGGCAGAATCCCGGCGTTCGCGTCTTCGATAGCTTTCCTCAACTGCAAAATAAAATTTGTGCAAATTTTATTAATTTTATAAAACTTCATGTCCATTCGTTGACTTCGTATTTAAACGCATGAAGCGATGCGACAAATATCACATCACAGTGCATTACCTCCTTTAACCCGACGACGCCGACTAGTCTACCGATGGCCGTTACGTAAGCGTGGTTCACGCCGACCATGCTGAAGAGACTGTGAACCTTAAGCAAGGACGTTCTCTCGACCAGCTGGAAGGGAGCCGGATCAATGTGACACCTCGAGAAATCCACCTCGAGTGCCATCTCGCTCTCCTCCCATCGTTTCTGATCCTCGGCCGACATGTCTATCACCCTTTCTCGAGGCTGGTTTACACAAGAGTAACGCACAAATATTATTTACCATTTAAATACTTTTTTGCTATTTAAATATTTGTAAAAGCAGCAACGATATTTAATCACCAATTGCACTTTCTTCGATGTTGCCGGACTGGGCGCCAGCATGGGCGTGTGAGGCGGCACGTTCATGACTTCCTGACTGTCGCGTCTGGTGCCGCTGCCGGATCCCCCCAATTCCGGATCGGGATCCACGTCTTGCAATGTGGCAGACTTGCGAAAGATCGCCTCAAATGCCAGACGTATCCTGTAATTTTAATAATTATATTGATATAATTCCTTCTTATTCTACAAGGTAGTAATTTATAAAAAAAACTTTGTTAACATGCTTATTAAAAAATCGACATCTTAAAAGAAAAGAGTAATGATACATATTTCTTTACAAAATGCAGTAAAATAAAATTACGTAAAATATAACAATATAAAATACATTTTTCAACATGTAAAGCTATTAATGCTAAAGAAAATAACAACTCGCCTGCTTTCCGCGCCTGTGACAGTTGTATAGGGTGTCACAGCCGGACTGACCAACGGGCTGAAGCCCTTTAGAGTGAAGGAATTCGTCTTTTTCAAAATCGACTTTTTCGGTTGGGAGCCGAACACCGGTGAATGGTAGGTGTGCTGAAAAAGAAAAATACGCAATACATCTCTCGATGCTTCGGTAATAACACGCGTCGTCGATTGACGTCAAAGTCAACTGTGCGAACGTGTGACTTACATGATCGGAACCGCCGTTGTTTGGTGACATCGTTAGATCGTTAACACTCTGCCGCTGCATTTTGAGAATGTCCGGTGCCGGGATGACCTCGAATCGCGAAGGCCTCCTCGTTCTCTCCTGTTCTCGCAGCTGCCGTTCCATTTCCTCGCGCGCCCTTTCCTCCGCCTCTTTGTGCCATTTCTGCGCGACCTGAAACATCAACAACGGTTATGGAAGCGAATGGCACGGAATATCCGCAAGGCGCTAGGAGTTCCATTACCTGTAATCTTCTTTCGCGACCGATGTGCTTCTCAATGAGCTTGATTAATTCTAATCTCTGAATCGATCCAAGCAGAATCATGGAGTCTGGGGTTTCCACCAGAGGAAATCCGCGAAGCTTGCGATTCTCCTTCAGTAAGGTTTTCAGCTTTTGGTAGCTGATACCGTGCCATATGTATTTCACATCGCGCACCATGAAATCCTCCACGTAGACATTATACATTCCTACAATAATCGGTTTTTAAAAACCGCCATTTTTCTCGTAAACTTACACGTCTAAACGCGTCGACGTAAAATTACCTTGCTAATTATTCCGAACGGCATGCCTTACGATAAGCATACGAAAAGTGATAGAGTATAAGCATTACAATATATTAATTTCTTAATTTAAGAAATTAAAAATTAATTGAATTAATTCATGAGAGAAATACCTGAACTGGAGGGCAACAGATCGGGCAAGTAAGGCAACTTCTTGATAAGGATAATGCTATCGTATATGCTGGGTTGCAGAAGCGCAGCGATAGCGTTGCTGATTAGTACGGCTATCATTATTGGTACAATGTGCGTGATCTGTCCGGTCATCTCGAAGATGATGACACTGACGGATATCGTGTGCGTCACCGCGCCCGAAAATGCAGCCGCGCCCACCGTGGCGTATCCACCTAAATGATACAATTGCGTGATATAAGTCCAACTCCTCCCTTAATTTCGTTTCTTCTTAAATTGGAGTAAATATTAATCCTCGTTATTCCGAGATAATTTTAATCGCTACAATGCTTCATTTTGGAAACATAATTTTTATCAATTATTCATGATGCGCTATCTTCTTTTTTCACATTTTCTATTTTACAAAAAATACCTATATATAGACAATTGTGTGCTCAAATTTTAATTAAATTAAAAAAACAAAATTTTAGTGTAAATTAATTACCTGGTATAATAGGCGTTATTACTCCACCGTAGCGCACACCATTGGGGAACCAGAGAGCCATGGCTTCCCCGACTGCTCTACCCAGCGCAGCTCCAATTTTGAACACGGGTATGAAAATACCGGAAGGCACTGGCACCGTGGAACTTATGATGCTAAAGATAAACTGAAACCGAAATATTTCCTCAGGTTTTCTTTGTTTTCATCATATACTACTTAAAAATAATAATGACACGCCTTCGAGCAATTGTTAAGAAAAAAAAAAAAAAAACATCACTTTACTTACAGTGACTAAGACGAAACTGAGAAGCCCACTGAAGACGTCAGTATACGGCGTCGACCAGTGCTTCACAATATTCATCTCCTCGGCGCCAAGATGCTCCTTCGTCCAAGTGAAATTAGTGAAAAGACCGTGAACCTGATCGTGCGTGTTTAGATCGCCGGCCATGAATTGGCCGAGTCCCAGTGGAAATGACACGGACGAGACCATGAGCGAAACAATGCCCGGATAGAGAAAGCGACTGTAAGTAACCACAATTGTTTCTCATTGACGTCTCACAAAACAAATTTATCACGACGATTATAAAAAAAAAATCTTCATTCGTAAATGACTTACTTCTTCTGCAGAAAGCTGTTCATGCTCTTGTTTTTGCGCATGAAGATGACGTACTGTCTATGCAGCCAAACATAGAAAGCACCCAGCAGCCCGCTGCCAACGCCGATCAAGGCGAAGACGAAGAGCTCCTGCGGATCGAAGGGAAAATCCATGGTGAAACTCGTGGCAAACATCGCCGTGATGGTCTCCTCTCGCTGGAACCAGATCGCCAGCAGGCGGAACATCGTGGCGCCGCAGACCGCCGCAAAGAAGCCGCGCCAGTAGTTCCTGACGGCGAAGTACACCGTGGTGACCTCGATGCTGAAGAGGACGCCGCCGATCGGTGCCGCGAAGCAGGAGGCGACACCGACGGCGCAGGCTGCAGCCAGCATCTCGCAGTTCCTGCTCTCGTTCTCGTAAATGCCCTGGAAGCTCGTGACCAGTTTGGAGAGGAGCGTCGCGACGATGCTGGCGATGTGCACGAATGGACCCTCCTTGCCGAGTGGCAGCCCCGATCCCAAAGTCGCCGTCAGACCGATCACCTTTAACGTGTCACGAGTCTCGATTGCCGCTGCCACGTATCGCGGGATTCAAGACGAATTTTATCACGCGCCTTTTTAACGACTCCCGAAAGTTTACTCAATCTAACTATTATTAATACTTGCATGTGTTACCACTTTGAATTTAATTACAACTCTTTCGAGTGTTTAATGGACGGATTATCGACGGCGAGCGTAATTAACTCACCTTGGCGATTAAGGTGCGAAAGGTCAAGTACTCCTTCAACGCTACACCGCGCAGAATGGTCTTCATCTCTGGAATACCGGAGCCTATACTTTGCGGCGCGATGATGTGCACGAAACCGGCGCTAAAGAGAATCAGACATACGGGCAGAGACACCCAAGCCAAATACTTGAGCGCCGGATGCGTCGAAAGGTCCTGATAGAGCCATATCCTGGCTGGTGAAAGAGAAGTCATCATTAATGCACGGAGCGTATATCAATATCTTCTTGTATCAAAAAAATCCTATTTCTTTTATCTATTTTCAAGTTTCGCGATCTTACAGCTACTTTTTCATTTTCTGCATAAAAATTACCTCACAAATAATTAACTGATTTTTATTTTTTCTGAAACTAATAAAATATCAGAACAATAAAAAAATAACAAATCCTGCAAATTATATTGACAAGTTCTGAAACTCTTAAAAGTTACCTTGTAATTCTCATTATTTTCCGAATTAATAAAGCGATAAAATAATTTCTAATGTTTCCAATATTTTATAGCTGCAATTCTTTCCTCTTTGCAAAGAATAAATATTCAGAAATATTTTATCCGAAGACGAGAATGCTAAACGCAAGGAAGACTGACCGTTATTGCACATGGAGATGCCGCGATCCATGGCATAACTGATAAGCGCCATAATGATGCCGAGAAGTGCCAGAAAGATCCAGTCCTCGCCGAGCCGTGCACCAGTGTGCTTCCAGGCGAAGGCCAGCAGAGCCAGCAGCTTCCGGCAAAGCGGACCGCGCCGGGATTTACGTAGGTCCTCGGCCCTCGTCTTATCATATTTCCGTCTCGCTTTCTCGTGATACTTAAGCCTACGCGCCTCTTCTTTCGCGTATTCACCCAGGTCCCTCGTATAGCGACCATACATCTAAAGACAGCCGATTTCGCATTATTTCGAGATCGTTTAATCGCGCGTGATTCGCGCACAGGCGAGAGACGACGTCGTTCGTTCAAATTTTTAAATATTTGAATGTGTATTTTTTTCAAAATATATCAGTTTTTTTTATCAGAATTAAAAAATGTACCTTTCTCCTTATCGTGCGAGATCAAAATACACAATTTCGCTGTTCGGTAAAATCGTGTTTTTGTAAGCAGTTTGGTGTAACAATTACATGTTGTCTAATACGTTTCCTATATCATAATATGATAATATATTTGATTCGATTCCAAGGTGACACTGTATTTCGGTATATCTATTAATTGAGCGGGATGTATGTTAATCGAGATAGGTGCTTTCAAAAAATAAAGGAGAATAATTAACTGTCACATCCGTAGTCTTTGTCAAACATATCGAATATCGAGTAAAATTGATTTATCAATCAAATCTCGAGAATGATTCGTGGTTTTTATACGTACCTATCATACTATCAATTTAGTGATTGTAACGGAATGCTGTGTTACGATTTCGATAAGTTTTTCTTCGGAAAAATTATCGGTTTGTTTAATCACAAGTTGTCGGGACAGCCAAGATGTGACACTAGTTAACGGCTTAGTTTACACCGCACGTTTCATCCATATTATAAATCCGTATATATTTGTACTATATATCGTTTATATCGCCAGATTAAGCTGTTTAATATGAGTTTTGTACGAATATAACACTCGATACACACAAATATAACACAAGTCAAACGATCTAGTGTAAACTAGGCCGATATATGAAAAAAAGTATTAAAGACGCAGAAAAACAAACTTTCGCCTTCGATTGGGGATTTAATACTGGAACAATTTCGAAACACAAAACTTGTTTCTGATATCGGATCAGCCTGATCAGCCTGATCAGCCGGATCACCTCTGTATTATCTCTAATCTTTTATCTATCTAACCCAAAATAATAAATTTTCCGGCTAAAATCGTACACTCAAAAAAATATTTCGCTGATGTAGTTAGATTTCTAGATATCGCAACAAGAATGTATCGCTATTTTTCGTATCTGTGAAAACATTGTTTGTCACATATAGAATTTATAGCAGTAATGTTCTAGCAATAGCTTCTGAAAAATTTAGGTACCATTGCTAAATGTTATTCATTGCATGATCTAACACGTGATTGATCTTATATAGATAGGCGTTTTAGAGAAACTTTCTTTTTAAAGTTCACAAACAATACAGATATATATTCTGTTTCTGTCATCTAAACTGATTAAGTAATTACATATGCAATATCACAACAGTTGCTAATCATTTGTCTGTTTTAGTTAATTTTTTACACCTAGAAAATTTTAGCTATTATTGCAAGATCATTTTTTTGAGTGTACAATTGATAAACAGCACAATCGTAAAAGTGTGCGATTTGCAACAACTGGCAATTTGTATATTAATCTAAAAAAAAATCTAATAAATTATCTAAAAAAAAATAAGCACGAGTGCATTATACACATTGGAGATATCGTTTTTTAGTGCTGTTAAGACGATTGTGTGCATCACGATTGTCTACATGCTGATACTTTATCGTTAATTGTATTTACAAGCGACAGCAGATAACGCGCTATTACTTACGGACCGTTCTCGTCAGAATTGTTCAAAAAATTATTCGTAATCGATATCGCGAAGTAAAAAACTTATCGCGGGAAAACGGAAGAATTAAAACGCAATCGTGCACTTACGAGATAGTCGTCGTTGCAAACGAAGTACGCCTTGTTCAATATCACAGCCGGCATGGAAAACTCGAAATGTTCAATTCACGGGACATTTAAGTCGTTTAGGTACACAACACTTCCCGAGTACTCAAACATTTCAAAAGTCGCCACCGCACAACTGTACATCCTTTTCTTCTTTTTTTTTACGTTTGAATCAAATCCGCTGCAAAGCACAGCCTCGCGAAAATTTTTTCGAAAACTTCGCGATTATTCGACATTCATCTCCATTGCAAAAAAATATATTTTATTCTCTCAAAGGATCAGCGTTTTATGCTCACAAAGATCACATTCAGTTTTTCGAAAAACAAATGAGAAGAATCAAATCAAAGATTTAAAGATTATTAAGAGGGATTTTGAAGTTACATCGCGAAACTTGACAGTTATGACGACAAATGCACGATTCTTATCGCTTGTTTCTTGCGTATCTTTGTGCCGCTTCAAAAATAAAAAAATAAATAAAAATAACACAAAACAATTTAGTCGAAAGATATAGTCGAAAAAATATTTAAAGACCTCAACATACGTTTTTTCTAATTAATAATTTTTGGATCTTAAATAACGAATTCTTCAATCGCCCACTATAAATATTTTAATTATATTTTTTAATACGTCATATAATTTTTAATATCACAAAAAATCTCTTGTCGTTTAACAACTTTTTGCTTACACGAATTTTCCTTACTTCTTCAACATGATATGTAGAAAAATTTCTACTGTTCAGTAATTAATTTTTACCCAAAAAATTTTAAATCCTTCGCGATTTAAACCCTTTGCATTGCACAGATGTAATTTGTCTCAAAATATTTTTTGAAATTCCATTCGCCAATTCCATTGGACTACTCAGCGGTTAAACTTACGGTACGCGCAACTTTTTACGAATCTGTTTCGAAGAACTTTATTTATTTTTAACAAATAGATGCCGATGCATCTGTGCGTATGTGCATACAAACGCAAACTGAACGGCAACGTCTCGTAGATGTCTGCTTCAAACCTCAGCGGGAATATTTGTTGAAGTTTGGCAGCAGTCAAAATCCTTATTTTTAGCATCGCCCAGCCAGCGTCGACAAGGCAAAGTCCTATTGTTTATTGTCGCATAAGCTGCAATGTTTCATCTGATGTCGCGAAAATGTGTCGCGCGATTTTCGATCGCTCTCATTTATCATCGGTCTGCGTCGGTGCAGTGTCACATCTCCGTCACATCTATATCACATTTCTAAGGAAACTCTCGAATCCGAATTTTTATCGCGCCATATACAGCGTGCAACCGCAGATTTATTTATCATACAGAAGATTTCAAAATTGCGCCCGAAAATATATCTGGCGCGAGACCGTGACTTGTTTATTTTTCGCTTACGAAGCATTTCTGTGTTTTTTTTACAACTTTAATATCATTGAAATTACTTACATCCGCAAACCCGACACGTGACATCTCGATTTATTCGCTCCACTTGCCGCCGAATTTGTATCGCTACTAATCGACCGATCAACAACCGATCGTGTCATCGTGCGAATTGTTCCAAACTTATAAAACAATATTTTGGCGAGTGTCGATAAGTATCTACGAGTGGTATTTTTATCACGATAATTTCGCCAATCATTTTCTCTTCCGCGGAACAATAAGTACGCGATGCATTATCGGGCAGATTAGCTTGTAAAACGAGATGGATAACAGCTGATAAAGCCGCGGTTTTGATCACCGCAATCGACGATCATGACTGACCGTGCGTTACCTGATGCTGGCAGCGACGCGGTGCTTGTTGACGATATAAATATGTGTGTACGACAGACGCATCGTACGTTTCGTCGAATGCCCACGCCGCGACTATAATTGTGCAATAAATCGCAAAATTCTGCGCGTATCGCGAAATGTTTATCGGTTAAATTCAATCGCGCTGGAAACCTCTTTTTCGCATGCACTTCGATTCCCGCAGACCATGCAAATGGTGTAGATAACACCGATGAAATATGCAACAGGCTTTAATCGTGCATCGCGGCTGATCGATTTAAATATGAAAATATCATGGAATACGTCAGATTAGATCAGAAATGTGTCCGATTCTCTAAATTGAAATATAGACGGCCACCTGAGCGGCCCACCGTGCGTACAATCGTGATGTTAATGGCGGCCACGTTCCACTGGGCAATCAGCCCTTAATCCAATTTTAGTAATTAGGCCTAACCGACAATAGCGATGATCAGACTCGAAAATAAATAATATACGCACGGGTAGAAAATTGTCTGTTCATTTTATCTTCAAGCTATTTTCATTATTTTTAAAAACACATAATCAACACTATTGTTCAAGAATTGAATTGTCGTAAATATTATATTATTGTAAATTGCTGGCAATAGCGCTCAGAAAAATTTAAGCTAGATCAATACGCCGGAAATTGCGCGTATCAAGAGAGCACAGGTTCAATTTGTGTAATATACGCAATATATATAAACATACGACGTGTGTGTATGCGAATGAATGAATGGTAACACGAGGATCTCTTCATGCTGGTCACGCGTGCCCGATAAGCATAACGAGTCCTTAAGAGCTCATTCGCGCGCACAAAAGCGTTGCTTAGAAAGACGCTGCTGCAAAGATCGCGCGCACTCCTTTACATTATCAACCTCGTCGCGGAATTGATACGCGGATACACGCAATTACATGCAATATTAGAAAAATTTGTTCCGAATATTCTCTTTGCGTAAAAAATGCAAATTAAAATATCGCGTTACAAGAAACGAGAGAAGATTTGAATATTTTCCAGCTCAACATTAAACTTTATATTGACTGAACTTGTTGTTAATTAATTTATTACAGTGTGATTTATTAATGAAATGAAAATAATACTTCGATTTGATCGTTGACAAAACATATTTTTTTTTTATATTCAACGAAACTTTATAAATGTATATATTTCGAGAAATGTGCGCCATTAGAATTTCGCGTTTACACAATCGTGAATAGCGACGACCACGAAAATCATTTGCGATTTGTTGGCAATCAATCAAGTGGTTAATTGCGATGACTAATGTGATTCCATTACGAGCTGCTCGCAGACGCGTCGCAAAACGTATTGTTTTCGCGAAATAATAGTTTCAGCTCGAGTGTCGCAATTTTCAATTTGCTGGCGAGACATCGAAGAGAGGCGCCTGTCGCTCGTACAACACTTGACGGATTACAACGGCCTCTTAATATCGCGTTGCACATTGTACGAAATTGCCGATAAATCGCGAACGTCTCATTTATTTTACACCTGCTCGAAGTAAATCGTGCGACGCGAAAGTACATCGCGGATTACGTGCCGGATATTTATTGAAGGCTGCTATATCATCGCCGTGACGTATTCTACGAGCAATTGACATGTTGTAAAAGAAAAAAAAAAAAAACGCAAAAAATCATGCATAAATTATATTCTTGAAACACGTTTCTGTATCTGTAAATTTTTAATTAGTGAATTCTGGAAAAATATATTTTAAATCGAGTAGATTTAATTTTGCAGTGTTTTTTTCTTGTATTGTTATATTAAACAAAAAAGTTTCGATTTTTCCTCTATACGGCTTCGCTCAAACGTTAAGATCCGGCCGACGTTTCTAAATTTGTACAAAGATTTCGACACGCGCTTGCGGTCGGTCATTGCGGCAAGGCTAATATTTCTCGTGTGACACGCGACGAGTCAAGGTCTATCGCGTACGCGCATTTCTATCAAGTATTGTGAGTAAATCGCTTTTTTCTTTCTGTAAAGCGTGCTCTTCGTATGATAAGTTAATAAGAAGAATTGCGACGCAAAATATCGCGAATGTTAAGCAAGAAAGTGTAAACTGTGTTAATGTTGCAGACATTACGTAGACGTATTTTGAGAATAAAAAAATATATGGGTTTGTTCAATGTGCGACAATGATGCATTTTACGATGGCAAACGCGTCTCGCGACACGTTTATTTAAAATGTATTTCTCGCCCACTTGGCAATTGTTCAAAGGTCGCACCATTAGATCCAGTGTTGTAGGATGGTTTACGGACCATGAAAAATCTTGAACAAATCGTCGATTCGCGTAGCAGTCTTGCATCAAAACTCGCCGGTAGTTTAATTACGAAATATTAATCATCGTTGAAATGTAGCCGATAAGCTGCATCGTAAACGCAGGCAATATATTTTAATGAGTGAACATAATGATGATTATCATACAATTACGTATACGTATCGTGAATTTAAAGATTTGACGAAAAATATACGTTAAAATAAATCATTGATGATTGCGCATTGATTGTTGGCAAGCAGCGCTTTCGACTAGAATACGCGTAGCAACAGCCATTTAATTATAAATTGCTTCTATAGTCGTTAACATTATCTTGAAAGTTGTAACAATTCACAATCTTATCAGTAATGCTTTTAGAATTTGAATATAAATTGGAAAATTTGTCGCTGGCATAAAATAATGTAAATGTAAAATGTGAGACTTCAGAATAAGAATGGGAGGTGTTTACTGCGGTTGATAATAGTAATGAATACTTTCAAGTCGCATGCTCATTCAAGCAGCATACTTCGAATTGCAGTTTGCGATCGCTTCGAGAGACAGAGAAACGAAAGAAAACTAATAACTCCGAAAAGTGTTGCTTACAATCGTGTTTATATAGTCGAACGGATCGAACTCCTGCTGCTCCTCGTCCGCATTTGGCGGCGGACACGGGTAGAACGCTTGTGATGGTCTAAAAAATATTCCAGATTCGACGAATTCTGTTTTTTTTTTTAGACCTAATATCATCATCGTTAATTTTATCCTTCGTTATTGTAAATAATTCTAACACGACTATGAAAAATTCCTGAGTCATTTGCTTATTTTTAAATCCATATCTATTCAACTCTCATTATATATGTATTGATTTTTCTGGTTTCTCTTGTATAATACTTTTATTATTATCGAACACTCTTCCATGAAAATAAGATAATATTTTTAACGTTCAGACGTATTTAGTCGTTTTGTCGAAATGTTGGGGTTTTTCTACTTTCTATTATTTTAAGATCAAGAAACGTTTTGCACGAATGTACCTGTGGGGCCGATTCCGGCGTTTTTCCTTCAATTTCGCCATTAGTCTCGTAAACTCCTCCCATTCTTTATCTACTTCCTCCTCGCTACCTTCCGGATGATGGTGTAGAGTCTCCTCCAGAAGTTCCTTCTTCGCGGCTTGACTCGCCATTTTTGTGCTCTCCGCTCGCGTCGATTTCACGGATTATGCACTCGCGACTTATTAACGCTTTACGACCTCTCGCTTCTCCCCATCTTAAACGCGTAGTTCCATATTTTCTGAGAAACTGAAAGGATCGATCGACAACTGATTGTCTCGCTTCGCCGCGTTTAATTTTGTTTCTGCGTCGATCTGATCTCCGCGCGATGAGACAAATTCATCAAACGCTGCTTTGATGCCTTCCCCTCGCGAAGCAATTGCCGCCCGGCTCAAAGCCTTTTCCCATCTTCGGTACAATTTCAAGGAGCCGAGGAATTGCGCGTTGGCGTGACACTGGCACTGCAAAACGCGCAGAAACCGCGAAAAAGCGGCGAGGAGGAGCGTTGCAAATTCGAGAACCGCGAGCGAGAACACGTCGCACACGAAGCCAGTGAGTCACACTGACAGCGAGAAGAGAGAATCGACCGTGCAATTCTCAGATAGAAGGCCCTATAGCCTGGTCCAATTTGCGGACTCATTAAGCCTCACTGACAGCCGTCGACGTCGCGCACACGCACACGCACGATTTTCCCCCCACAGTCGTCGGCCAAATTGCCCATTGTCGACGGACACCTCGCGTACGTTGCAATGCCGAAGGTATTCGCTACCCCTTGTCAAAGATTCAACGTTTTAATTCGATTGGAGTGTTTAATTGCCATTGCGCTACTTCGCCGACGGAAGAATGTACTCGCATTATTTCCACGTTTGTTTCCACTGCGCTCGAAAAGCAACCGCATTGAAAAAATTGTTACTTAAAAAGACGTCACCGAATTATTCTACGAATTAATAATAACTGACTGCATAATAGTTGACGGCAAAAATATTAATTTACGCGCAATTATGCATATGAGCGAGAAAACTCGCTTGATTAATTTGATAAAAATTTATCAAAATTGCCGTCACGCATTTGAAAGTGCAGGCGCAATTGATTTCATTAAAGTATTGCCGGGGAAATCTTATTGGCGGCATTTCTAGTAGCGACTGTACGAAAGCCGTGCACGGCCAATTGGCTACTTCCCTCGACGAGGGCTCGTAGGAAGCTGCCTTCAAAGTCATGAGTTATCATTGACCAAAATGACCACGTAATTTGATGGATGGTTCGTCTTAACCAGCGCCGGCCATCAACTCCGATCGATGACTTCTCCGATACCGACAATTACTTTTGAATATTTTACTTCTGAAATTACACTTAATTAAATATTTATACGGTGCTTTTGCCAATTTTTCGTTCGCGTTTTATATGTAATATTATATTATATTATTATATAATATTACACGACAAAATTAATATTTACCGTTTGCGATAATTTTTTCAGAAGCAAATAGAAGATGTTGAGAATTGTGCCTTTTAAAACGTGTATCTAATGTTCTACAAATTGTGTGATAAATGGTACAAATGGTTCGCTCGCACGATATTAAAGCAGAAATGTCATTACGTACCTCCTCGCGCAATCGCCAAATGTCGAGTGATTTTCGAAAGCAGAATGCAGATAGTTAAGCAAGAACTGATCCAGCTCCGCATACGTGCGCTAAGGTCTCTAATTGTTGACCGATCAAGCTGTAAAAATCATTTGTTTGATCTGCTTTGTATATACGTCGGACATCGCAAAGAGATAAGATCGCGCGCGCGAACTCAAAAGCTCCGCCGTGCATGCAAATTTGCGCTAGCAAATTAACGCTGTGCGATAATTTAACTTCCGATACGACTCCTTCGTCACGCCTTAATAAAATTTGCAAAATGTTCTACGCATTTAATTCTGAATGCAGCGCAAATACACGTGTTGAGAAATTAGTATGCGAGAGAAGGAGATAGCAAAAAGGGAAGCCACTAGTGATTAATTAATGTAATTAAATATTACCTGCATTTTGGAAAAAATAACCAGCCCATTTGAGAGATTTTGGTCAACGAGAGAACACCGGGAGCTTACGATTCCGAAAGCGGAAAGCACGAAGACTCGATAAAATACAAGATAACTTATACATATATGGCACGTTTTTAGCGAACACAACGGTTGGTCCAACAATTAGGCGCTTTGGCACGTCATTAAGGCGAAAGACGTCAGAAGATGTTAAGATGTTCAACCTTCTCCGATTACGCGAAAATTCCTCTTTAAGTCTCGTATCGCATACAGTCGCCGTGACGTTAACGGATCAATTTGTCTACTGTGTGAGAAAAATTCGCAAAAGTCGCACCAGCCGCGTCAGAGCCAGATGTCGTTATGAAAGATCGCGGAGAGATCGCAAAGAAGACTGCATTTTCGCCGATCGCGATCGCAGATAATGAATATCGAGCGACTATACTCGGCAAGTGCGACAATTAATCGAGATTCGCGAGTTTGATTCCAAACTGCAGCAACTATGATAAATTCCTTCTGAGAACGGATTGACCTTCCTCAATTATCCGAGATGATAAACGAGCTTTGCATTCTTTGTGTAGCAGGCATCTTTAATGGCAATAAGCGATAAACATTTTTTTTCGCACCATCCATCGGACTTCTCGCAACCGCATTCGAACGTACTTTCGTTATTTCGTATAATTTCCCCGCGGTCTTGTCTCGTCGGAAGTTCATTTATCATCGCGCAGTTGTCAAGCGCTAATTGAACATTTCAACATAATTGCAGCTACGGAAAGATGCAGTGCATCGAATGCTGCGATTTGTTTAACCGCAATTTTTGTGATATTTTTACACAATGACATTTTTTTTATATTTCCACTTATATAAATAATAAAATTTTTATCTCTAGATTCTTATTTTAGAAAATTTGTAAAAAGTAAAAAATAAATAAAAAAGATTTACGCTAGATAAAATATTCGTATATGTGATTGATGCTTCTTTAGATAAATGTCAAAGCTAACTATATTGGGCTTGCATGTACGTTACACCGGCATGGGAATGCAGATCCCAGAACGTCACGGATGTCCCATGGGTTCCATGACCCTCTGACAGTGTATTAGATCGCAGTGAATTAGTTAATGTGAGTCACATGGAGTCGGCAATGAATTACCGTGCTCGCGATGCGTCAACACCGCAGACGACTGCATTTTGGACAGGATCGTTTGTTCAATTATTGGGCCTTCCTTCCTGTTTAACCAGGACGGCAAGCCGACTCATACCGCAGACTCTGCAGTATCCTTATCGTATTCTTTCTATCTTCAACGCATTACACTGTATTATATATTTATACATGATTTACAAATCGTTGCTCAAACACAATCAATGTATCATTAAAAAAAATTCTAAGTTAATTTATTAATAAAAAATGCCAAAGTTTAATAATTATTTAATAAATAAAAAATAATTATTAATTTTTTACGATAATTGATCGTCATCATTTGCGATTACTAATCTAAGCACAGATTTTTTTATACACTAATTATATGTAGAAGATGTAAATCCTAGTTGAGCTTTAATTATAGATTTGTTCTCCTCCAGAGAATTAGGTCTAGGATGCATCGATGCGAGAATATGCCTCGATTATCGAGTGTCTAGCGGAGATTCGACTAAAGAGATAAGTCTAATTAACGTCGGCTATGATGCTATTAGCCGCCGACGCTTTAATGAATCACGCAGTACTCCATTAGCAAATCGCTCTATTAGCTCGTCGATCGTCTGTCTGTCTGGCTCGAATCGGGGCATACGAGTTATGCAAATTCGGAATCAAGTTCGCGCTGTCGCAGCGCAAGTCGATCTTTGACTCCTCTCCTCTCTGTTAATTGCGATAACATATTACGATTTCATGCAACAACATATTTTTCACTAAGTATTTCACCGCTCTAAGCCCTTCAATCTCCCGCGATCCGTGTTATCGCGTAAAAAAAAGTAAGATGGAAACAGCGTGTTTCGTGTGCGTCTGCCCGATAATGCGACGACAAACAAAGCGCGTCGATAACTTCTGAACCTCCTGTACATCTGTTGACTTTGCCGGACTGAAAAATATGCGGAGCTGAATCGTTTTACCCGCAAGACGTCCGCGTATACAAATAATCACGTACTGATCTTAAAAATTAATGCGTACATTTTGGAAAAGTAAACAGTGGTAAGACGAGAAAGAAAAATGTACCGCAATAACGTGTAAAAACGAATCAGCTGTAAAATCTCGAAGAAAAGCAAATTCTAACAAAGATTCGCGCTTGTCGACTATTGATTAGCGCGTATGATATTTCTAAAACTGGTTTTCCGTAAAATCATCTCTCTGAAGAATGATTCTTGTCTTCAAAGTTGCTAAGAAACTCGAGGTTTCTTCTTTTGAAATAAAAGTCAGCAGTGATAATTGCTAGTGGCCTTCGCCACGAGGAACTCTAATTGCATCGTACGTGACCGGCGCTATGGTTTACAATGGTATTATGGTGAGCATTGCAATTATTTAATATATTAATTGATATATTACGCAATTATGACGCGGAAATTGTAGTGTTGCCAATATTAAAAAATTTTTACAAATAAATATAAAAAGCGACGTATCGAGACTTAAAATTAATAAAATTCTGTAAAGGAATGTAATAACCACATGAGAGAGGAAAAATCATAAGTCGTTTGACACATAAAAAACTGTAAGAGACAAGCATTGTGTAGATCTCATAATTTATCGACACGTTAACCGAGAGAGCTGCGATTTCTATTCGCATCTTGAACGCGGCACACAAGGTAATCTATTCGATCACTAGGCGCAATGAAATACTAATCTTGTCAATGGACTTTTTAAAGAGAAATCTGTCTCTAATGGACGGCAATAAAGTCACGGATGCATCATTAAACGAGACCTATAACAAGAGTTTTTCCAACGGAAAATTACGGCCAATTATCTTTGAAATTAAGCTTCACATAACGAATTAATTCTTCCGCCTGTTTTCTCGACGAGTTTCCAGTTCTGAAAAATTAATGACAAACGTCAGCATTCATAATCCGTCACACTTGTTCTCTCCCGATAAAAATTGATAACGCGAACACGAGTCAGACGCCGCGTCTGCGCGACTGTCCCTTGATAACCCTGTTTACCGTTTCCAACGTGCGAGCAAAAATACGAGAATAGATTCTGGTCAACCACCTCTGAATCAATTTTCTAAATTTTCGAATTGACGGAATATGTGCAGGAGTGCGTTGAATACGAGTGCAATAATAGTTGAGAAAATAAACAGTGTCACATTACAGATTATATTATTATAAGACAAATATGTATCAAAATATCATGCAAAAATAATGTTGTAAATACAACACTCTGAGCCACGCAATTATTTTATCAAAATCAACATGTTTGTGTGTTATTTTCTGTAATATTAATTTTTATATGCGCTTTTATGGCAGATAGTTTTTCTACGGGAGATCGTCAATATGTTGATAGAAAGTGTAATTAATTTGTAACACGAATAAAATGACGATCTAACGTTCGGATGTTTTGCGACTTATTTGTTTCCGATAATCAGGCGAGTTTCATATTATCGACGACACCCACTCGCAAAGACGTAACAACTGTAATCGAGAACGAGCGGACAAGTCCAAGGTCGTCATCATCATCGACCGGCGATCAAACCGCAGCGCTTGTTATGTCATCGCAATGTACATCGTTGCCCGTCAAATCATCGAATAGCACATACGAACTGATTCACCATAAACATTGCACGTACAACTCGCAACCAGTGATTGAGACAATCGACTTTTATAAATCTTACATCAACGATATCTCTCACGTTTTCAAACGCAAAAAACAATCATCCCGCATAAAGCGCATAAAAAATAAATGTTTTATGGTGAAAAAAATATTACATAACGTAAATTAATATTAGTATCGATTAATATAACGATTTATCAAGAAATATAAAACGTGCTTAATTAATTTCAGGTTATTTTTCATATTTCGTGCCAAAGTTTATAAAATACAATAAAATAGAATGGATAAAGTTTATTGACTCGTCGATTTTTTCCTCGTGCGAGCAAAGAAGATCAAGTAGATTTAGAAACGAGCTTCATCGGTTGCACACCCATGTGCTCGGCGAACTCTTCCGAGGCTTTCAGCTGATTCGGATGATACGTGATTCCACCCTCGCTGTCGACCTTCCTCATATGTTGCCTCTCGGGATCGCCGGCGATCAGAACGGGCTGCTCGCCGGTGGTGGGCAAGTCTCTCAACTGTTTCAGCAAGGTCGACAACCTCTCCTTCGAGCCGCTTGCGAACGCCTCCGGATTGATCGCCATAAAGCATTGTCCCAGATCGGCGATCCTGTCGCCGGTTTTCCAGGGTCGAATGTTCGGCCCGAATTGACTTCCGCTCAGAACGCCGCATAGTGTCTCGACCATCAGGCCCAAACCGTAACCCTTGTATCCAGAATTGCGCTCTGTACCGCCGAGCGGCATCAACATGGAAGCATTGTAGGCCTCCTCGGCATTGCGAGTCACCTTGCCGTCCGATGCGAGTGCCCATCCCTCGGGGATGTCTTCGTCCTTTCGTATGGCCAGCTCAATCTTGCCGAGAGCAACGGCGGTGGTCGCCATGTCGAGGACAAATTGGTCGCCGTCGCAGGCACTCATGCCCAAGGATAAGGGATTCGTTCCCAAGCCAGCCTTCATGCTGCGTGTCGGTGCCATAAGTGGGCTCGTGTTGGTGCACGTAAAGCCGATTAGGCCCTTCTCCATCGCCATCAAAGTGTAGTAGCCGCAGATGCCGTAGTGATTGGAACCGCGCGCCGCCACCATGCCGATGCCGAATTTCTTGGCCTTCTCTATGGCAAGCTCCATGCAATATTTACCGACCACTTGACCCAGCGCGTTCTTACCGTCTACGAGTGCTATCGCCTAAAATGGCGTAAAGAAATTTCTAAATATTGTATAAAATCCGTAACTCTCTTAAGGTCCGACAATTGCGGTGGAACTTGGCGTTTCGCGATTCAGTTTCGCGTTATTTCTATCTCTTGAAAATATTATGTTTTTTTAATGAGTTTTTTTTATTTTCAAGTGAAAAATAAAAACTTTTTACGTAAGTTTCTGACCGATGCGCGTTAGATACGCGCTAAATAGTACGTATCATGTTTGATACACGAGTGATTGTGCACGCGAGCGTACCCGACAATGCCGGCAATTTTCACGAATGAAAATACTTCGCAGAGTAATTAGAGCCGTACTAATTAGCGTTTGTGTGCTTATTAGCAATCGCCAAATTGTCGACGCGTCATTCATACGGTAAATTGCCGCGTCTGTGTTTCCGACAATGCCGGCAATTTTCACGATGACGAGTGCTTTAAAAAGTGATTAAAACGGCTCTAATTAGCGTTCGTGTTTCGTCGTCGGTCGAATTGTCAACAAATCTATTGAACAAATTATCGCTTTGTTTCAACGAACGCGATGCGAGTGATTTTGTCAAATCGAACATGCTCTATGTATGTTCGATTTGATAAAATATATTGAAATATTTACAGCCGATCGAAAGCGCGATAAGGAAAACACGAAGCTTACAAGTCCGCGACAAATGCAGTTTACAAGCGAAGAAAATAAATCCTATTAATCAAGAGAACGCATATCTTATCGGGTCATCGGTTGTTAAGATACGAAGACCGGCTGTGCGGCGAGAAATCGTCCCGGTGTTATCATCGCTGCGAAATGCAAACATCGTTTTTTATGGTATCACATATGTAAATTATCTTTAATCGCGTTCGAAAAAATATTTACGTCACTGATAGATTCGTTGATCAAATTTGATTACGAGCAGTGTCTTTTTATGCACAGTGCGTCAACAAAATACGCAAAACGATACGTTGCAATCCAAATTATTCATTTTTAATCTTTTATTTATTATTTCTTTATCATTAACATGAACAATTTTAATTGTTTTAGTAATTTTAGTTATAATCAATTTTATGAGGTAAATAAAGAATGAATAGATTAAAGAAATGAAAAATTTGAGTTTAAATTGAGAATTGCGTCACTCAAGTTCCACCACGCTCGGAAGATCCATTCGAACCTGAAAGTCGGTGACGATTTGCGGCCGGGCGGTAGGATCGGTGATCCTGTTTTCGATGTCCGTCACATACATTTGCATGCGGTTCATCCCGTGGCTGAAATGACCTCTGTAATCCGCCGTCATCAGATGGTGACCGACGGCGTGAGCGTCTTCCGGCGTGGTGCCGGCTTTGCGCATGCAATTTTCGATAAATCTGATGACCTCGTCCTTAGGGACGACTTTCCCATCGTAGTCCTGGCATCCAGTCGCCATTCTGACGACGTTGACGACGGTATGTGTGCGCGACGACGCACTTCTTAAAATCGCCCAGAACTGACTGAGCGCTGGTCTGCCGACTTTTATCAGCATCTTGTTTTGAATTGTTTGCGTTTCTTGATGATCGCGATCGACCAATCTCGCTTCACTTGATTTATCTTATCAAACACTTCTCTAATGAGTAGCCGTCTCTCTACATCAATTTGAGAAAACGTCGTGTGCGTTCTCACCAGTTCTATCGCAATTTATACACTTCGGCTATCGTCATTTATCATTCGAAACTGCGACGGAAATTGAGGTCAAATTGATTACTTCGTTTTCGAATTCATTTTCGCGATACTCGATTTGGTAAATGTTAAATTTTACTTTACGACGAAATCGTATTGTAACAAATATTACAATGACTAAACTGCAGGCATAATTGATAATCACTGAGCGAGAGTAGATTGTAAATAAGAGCAAGATGATTACGATTTTTATTTCCTGCGCGTCGTTTACGTAGTAAAATAAATGTCTTATTTTTCTCCTCTTGCGTCGAATTGATTCCGTGTTTCAAGTTCTTCTACTTCATATGAACTTAGCGGCAGATGGTATCAGTAGAATCACGTGTTTAGTGTTGCAGTTGGCCGACATATTACGTATGTATGTACACGTATCAGCAATCACAGACGCGAGCTTCCGAGCGAATCGACGAGCTCCACTTACACCGATTTACCTTCATACGCAGATTTAACTTCGCAGCAGAGAATTGCTAGTTTTCAATCTTTTCCTCTTCCAGAAAAAAACTTGCCATTCTGTATATCGGATTTCATAGATGACAGCGTGTCTCACGTGCTGCGCGTTCGATTGTTACACCGCCGACATCGACGTTGCTCTTACAAAACACTGAGAATCGCGTCGTCTGGCGGGAACTTTGAGCAAGTTTTCATTGTCGAAACCAGAATTATCAGCAATATGTTCGATGAAATTGATTAAGGGAATCACAAAGTATCAGATTAAGCTTCCTCTTTGTTCAAATAAAACTCGTATGCTCTTATTTGTAGAAGATAAGCTTGACATCGATAGGCCAACGTTTATTATTATTCAATAAATAATTATTACGCAGTATTAAATATTTTTCATACAAAAGTTAGACTTGCGTAAATCTTGCAACCATTTTACTTAGCATAATGCTTGTTTATGAATGTTTATAGGTAAAAAATAAGTTTCTCTTTGCATCGTTAAATGAAAATTGATAATAATTAATCATTATAACAGTAATTATATTAATTTCGATAGAATCGCATGGCAACAGATTTAATCTGTACGAGACGAATTTACTGAACGTACTATCATATCTGCGATATTCGTCTCGCACGATCGATCGGTTATGTTTCCCTGCCTTTAACCAACTCTAATCTAAAAATTAAACTGCACGTATGAATCAGATCGCAAATAAAAGACAAAATATGCAAATACATGTTCAGTGAGCGAACGAAAGAAAAGAGCAACGCAACGTTCAGTTACATAAACAGATACTCGCTATTTGCGAGATGTATGTAAAATCGGCATAATCCACCCACGTCGATCGTACATGCGATTCGATTATGCACGGATCGCCAGTTTATGCAATCACGACGATACTTGACATAGGAAGAAAATAAGTTCAATGGCAAATCACGCGAAATCGTAGACGATTTGTCGTCTACGTTCTGTCTTTCTTTAACTATTCCGCGAATGGATTCGCGTAGAATGAGGAAGAGCCTTGAAACAGTATGTGTGACATACGTTTCTAACCACACAAAAAAAACACCGCACTATATCAAGTAATGTCGAACCGTTATGTCTTCGGGCACGCGCCGAGTGATCAATTAGATCGACTATAACTCTTCTACATCGGTCGCTTGGCAGACTCTTTGGCGACAGTACAGATAGTTACGATGAAATCTTCGCCTTTCAACGATTTGCAAAATCGCTAAGTCATTATAGCGTAACCGCTTTTTCAGATTATAATATGTCACGAGCTTGGAAGAAAAAGGATCGCAAATCACAACCTTCTGCAGAATTTTTCAGACTTTTTTAGAGATAAGACAATTTTTTTATTCTTTATACTTTTAGTTTGTAAAAAATACAAAAAAACGATTATTACTGAAATAATCTGATTTATCTAAAATATAAACATAATATCGTCGAAATAACTTCTTTCCCGAGTAAATGTTTATAATAATAATAACAATAAAAATGTTAATATTTTTATAAATTTAGAATTATACTCCTATTTTCTCAATTATAATCCCAGATATGGAGAACATTGTTAGGAAGTATAATTTACACGTTCGGAATTGCGCGTCTCCAAAATGCAATGTGATATCGCGTGTGATTAATCGACAATTATATTTCTCTTGTATGAAATGTTGCTGCGAGATAAAAAGAACCACTTCTCTTTAATTAAACTTGTAGCGACCACAATTTCTACGGGATTCCCATTATATTATCGTCACAAAATTTCTTCGAAGTCGCGGTTTTCATAAATGATCGACATTATATGCACACGTGTAAGGACGTGTTATCGCGGGGGCTTTAATCACTACGATAACTAGCTCATTACTTCGCTGGAATTCGGGATTTATTATATTCGTGAAAACAAAATGTTACACGATAAAATTATCGCGCCTGTAACGCGACGTAGAAAATAATAAATTTATTGTTATATAACATTAGCGAATTGGAGTAGAAGGAAGTTTGCTACGACTTTAATTGGAACTCTAATCGGCGAGATCATTAGATTAATTAGTATGTAATCGGTAATGCGTGTTTAGTGATCGCGATTATTATATACAATATAATTGTACATATAATATGCTTTAATTCGTGATGCGACGTCTGATGATTAATTTATCGTTTATTTGATTATAGAAGTTTCCTACATCAAGAGATTCGGTTACAATCGCATTTTTCCGTGAGAACGCTTGAAACACTCGACCGCATAAGACGTGCATATCTCGCGCTAAAATCAAATCGAGGAGGCTCGTCGGTGATTCATGTATCGCGGTACATTAGCGAGATTACATCATAAATATTTAATTTCATAATCATAATTATAAGTTACCCAACGCGCACGACAACCGTAAGTCGGAAAAAATCTCGGGATTACCAGAAAATTGATAAAATCGCTTCGAAAAAATCTCACGAATAAAATATTCTACTTTTAATGGCACTGAAGTAAAATGAATCATTTATATATGTAAAATTGCAAACAAATGAGACAAATGACGCGAATAAAGCGCAGTGTAAATAATAATTCAAGTTATTTTGTTTTAATATGTCTGAGACAATATTACGTCACAATCGTATGTAAAATAACGTAATCGTATACGTAAAAATAACGTAAAAATAATTATCAAAAGTCTCTCGCAAATCACATTGTTTAAAACGTCATATTCGACGTAATGCCGATAAATTACGCGAGCAAGGATAAATATTTTGATCTGATGCGCGTACCTATAAGAATGTAAAGATTTATGACGTACGTTAATCATTGATATCTCTCCCTCGCGTCGATGTTTCATTTTATGATTATCGCAAGGCTCCATAAATTATGAGCACCGAATTTTAATCGGACAATTTTTAATTGCCCAAGTGGCGATCACGTGTAGAATAGCATGACAGAATCACGTGAAGGACAGAATAGACAATCACCGCCGCCGACCGAAGAAAAATTTAAAAAGTTTGAAAAGAAAGAAAAATATGCAAGCTTTACAAAGGAATGCAATTTTCCACAGAATCTCGTTTTACACGTTTGTGGATTTCAAAAGATGGTTTTCTTCGCCTATTTCTACAGTGCCATTGGCGATTGAGATAATGCAATAGACTGTACAAGAAAATAGGAGGATTATTTCAAGAGTGCGGTTATAAAATTTTTTCAAATGCGTTGCGGATTGCGTGTTATGGAGAGCGAACTCAATATCATGCAAATCTTTTTTACCGAGCGTAATAATATAAATTACTCTTTATGTTAAGAAGTGCATTAAATCTTGCAATTTAGTAGCAACTACAGATTACATTAATAGCAGACGAGTTTTTATATATTACATTCAAAAAATACTTTTACGATGCTATAAATTCTTTGAAAGAAAGCTTGCAATTTCCTTTTATCATCATAGTTCCTTTCAATATGCAATTTAAGCATATATTGGAATACGAGGAAGCCGGCAATAAAAGAGAGTATTCGTAGATACACCTGCGGCTGAGGCGGCGAGTTTGCGAAGAGCACACATATGCGAAAAATTTGCGCGTGACGTACATCGGATGACGAACGGCGGTTAGAATTACGCGATTGCACGGGGTGCTTCGCGTTTCAATCGAGGCCACGACGCATTGTTCCTTCAGAAGTACGCGGAAAGCCTGAAAATCCCGGGCAGACTTGGCACGCATCGTGACAGGTAATCTCGCGGGGCTTCTCTAGTGATTCGTTGCAAAACAGAGAAGAGAGAAGGTGAAAATAGAGCGTGGCGTTAGCACCCACTCCGAAACAGTCACGAATCCCTCGTTTTCTTTGCGCAGCTGAATAAACTTCGCAATCAGTCAGAATTTAATTATATTTAATCGATTTAATCCATGCGTCCGGGAAAATATTTTTGTTATCGCGTTTCGTTTGATCACTGTTGATCAATTAATATTTTTCTACTGTGAACGCATTAACTAAATATAGATTTATCTATAATATATCATAATTGTTCATAAAAACTGTCAACTTAATTCTTATATAAATTTTAATATAAAATTATATTAATTTAACTTCAGATGTAAATTTCTGCGGAAATAACAAGACGTTAACTTTTGCAAAATGTGACGAAGCCGCAAATCTCTAAGTAATCGGCGAATTAAAGAATGTCGACGTGCACAATTCATGGTTTCCTGATGAGCGATACAACAATTCCGTAGCATAAATTTACACATCTCTTGATACAAACGATAACAGTGATACGCGCTCATTGTAAAGCCATATCCGTTTACATGGTAATTGTGTGATCGGAAAGCGATATAATTTTATTGTGTCTCATCACCAATTTTACAGCAGACTTAAAATATTCATTACTACATTTGCATTATTTATAATACATTTATTCATGATAAAATAGATCAGAAATGGGAATTAGTTGCAACTTTCGGCTCGATTTTCTGATTGACGTCCACTGTCCCCTCCTTGCTGCTCACATTCTAGTAACGAGTCACCAAACGCGCTATCAACACCCTTATGTATAACTAAGGTGCGTGATATTCAGCCTCAGGAATGACCATATCACAAATGCAACAAGATAATAAATATGAGGTAATAGATTTCCACTTCACCTGTGAGGTACTATTATTAATGCATTCTTCAACAATAGTGCCTCACAGGTGATATGGAAATCTATATTTGTCCCATAGTTATTATCTTGTTGCATTTGTGATATGGACATTCCTGAGACTGAGTATCGCGTACCTTAGTTATGGGCGTTGTTAGCGCGTTTGTTGACTCGTTGTTAGTATGCGAACGGCAAGGAAGGGGCAGGAGGCGTCAATCAGAAAATCGAGCTGAAAGTTGCAACTAATTTCCATCTCTGAAATAGATAATGCCATAAATACTATCCTTAAACAAATTTACGTGCTAGTTTCAACGTTAACGATGCAAATACGGATAAGAAAAAGCACGATCCATTTTAACTAATATACGTATCCTATAAATATTAATTTGAAAACTATAAATTGCGAGTAATAATTATTTATATATAGACAGAAAAATTTTAATCATCATTTATGACACTTTTGTTACAATTTTTCCTTTCTAAACTAATCGCGAGAAAGCAATAAATTGTTTCACATTATAACCGCGGCTTCGTTACGCACGTCGACACA